GGAAATGGAAAAGGTATATTTTCTTTCATCTCTAAGCATATATATATATTCATTTATTCATTATTTATTTGTTTATTTAATTTATAGTTTAAAGAGAGGAGATATAGAGGTTGATCTTTTTTCGCTCTATTGATTCTGGCGCTGGAACGTATTCCGGCACTCTTGCTACACTTGTCCCGTGCACAAATCTCTTGTGCAGATCTCTTTGCTTCATCCTTGTTAACTCCGTTGCGGTCATCAAATAAGATGCTTTCGAGCGTCTTAATGTGCGCTATCGATTGCATATATACCTCGATGAGAACAGATATACCGATTTACTTTCCGTTTCGCTTATGCAAGTTGGTTACAATCACATCAAGTCATTACATACAGAATGAATTTTGGTCCTGCATTTCATCTCTGACTCGAGTTTATTTGCTAGTAGATCATATTTTCGCTTTTTCTCAGTCTCGACTGCAATTAGCTTGTCCTGACCAGTGATGTCAACTTCTATCAGGATTACTGCACATCGCTTCTTGTCGTATATCATGATATAAGTTCGATCCGCGCTTATCTTAAGCTGTTCTCACTCCCATATCGACTCTGATTTCCACGTTCTCATTAGTGACGATTTCCTAAACAGAATGGTTTCGCATGCGCGCGAATGCTTTCAAACCATACTTGTAACAAAGTCCCAAATGGATGCATCCTTGACCTCATTGTCTTCTAGTATAGTTGTGATATAATATTTTCTCGTACTGCGTTGCTAGATGGACCGCCGTCTTCACACTTTCCCCATAAAGTTCGGACATACCTTTTACAGCTCCAAACATATTTCTGTCTTGGAAGTAGCAGTATCTTATTTCATCTTGCAGTGTAGTGTTTCCGCGTCATAACCATGTTGATCCTTTGAGGAAAAAAGTACACCAACCATCCGCATCTTTTACAGCATTGAATATTGATTGTTCTTTTGTATTTCGCTTATAAAAGCGCTTTCTGGGCTGTTGATACTGTTAGTGTCCTGTTTTTCCTGTTGGTTTTAAAAATAAAAGAAAATAGTTGAGTTCTTGACATCCCGAGAAATTGTTTTATTTAGATATTTCATGACGCTGTCATGGCATACAAAAAGATGCGAGCACGTTTTGATCAGAGGCGAAATTTGAAGAATGAATATGAACTGCTGATAAAGTTTGATGAGCAAACCTATGATTTGTTTGGACTGTATCAGCAAGCTGTAGTCGGTGATATTAATGTACCAAGTACGCAAATGTTGCTTATTCTTAGATCAAAAAAATTAAGCTTTCTTCTACGGAAAAACGAACCTAGCATTCTGTTTTAATCATACATTATTTTAGAAGAAATGTTTTCTCAGGTAGCGTTTTCTCATTCTATCGTTTTTAATTTTCTGCAAACACACAAGAAAACATAGACATTACTGATTAGCTTATCAGAAAGTTAGTAACTTATGGAACCAAGTATTTCATAATAAAGTGTCCAAGTTTTATGTTTGTGTTTTTGGATAACATAATAAAATTTGATAAAAAATTCACCTTCAACATTATTGCAGAAATGGATTATCGTGATCCAAACGAAACCTCTTACATGTGGTCGTGGATCAAAGGTAATCGTAAGTGGCATGCTTGGAATAAATGCAAAGGTTAAAGCTTACATTTAATTTTAGTTTTTTAAGTAAGCAATTCGTAATAGATTAAAGCATTTTTGCATCCTGAAATTTGAATGGTTTTTTTTCATACTCGTTAATCTTTTCGTCTTGTTGTTATGTAAACTTTTCATGTTAAAGTTTTAGCATCAATTGACTAATAAACTGCTTGTTTTATGTTTATCGGTACATGATGCAATGTATTTGTATGTCGCGAAAGTTAATGCCCTTAAAAAGGGCTTAGATGAACTAATCAATGAATGGAAAGATGAATTAGATCCAAGGGTACCAAATAAAGATATCTGGGTTCCAGAAGAAGAAAGAGAACAGTTCGAAAAATTCTTAGAACAGGCTAAACTTGAAAGAAGGTGCCTGATTTTTTTTCTTTGAAATTTGAGAGTTTTGGTTAGTAAGTCAAGCAGCTCTCTTAATTATAAGTCTTTCAATTATTATAGTAGTGTTATGATTATCATTACTTATTATTCTAGAATTTCACATTATCATTTGTTATGTTTTTAGAGAAAGAGATTCAGCGCAGCGCCAGAAAGAGATCGAAGAAGGAATGTGGGACGATGACAGTGAATAATGGCAAAGATTTTTGGATGATAATACCTGAAACTGTTATTGTTTCTGTTACCAATTAACCTTCCTTCTAGTTTTTTTAGAACGCTATAAGTTTTATTTTCGCTTACAATTTTCTTTGCTTAAAGTTTGTTTCTTTTTGATAATCTTATTTTCAGTGTTTAACTACTTCATAACGTTTTAATAAAATAATTATTTCTCATTTTAAACTTTGTCTTTTCTCATTTAATATGACGAATTTTCAACTTTAAAAGTATTTATATTTGAAAAATCTTTTATAGATTGCAAAATATTTGAGAAATAGAAACAAAATATAATTGTTTTATAAATTTGTATGCATGTTTTGGTTCACTCTTGGCTTCATCAGTGCATCATTGTAAATGTATTAGATTGTGTGACCGAGTTCAATGCTAGTACTGTTTGTATTCCAAATACTTTCATCGTCATACTGTCTTGTTTTCTGAAGACATGACCCTCCACTTCGATGCCGATATGATTTAGAATCGGATAACGCTTCAGGCATAGCATTTCGAAACAATCTATCATCTAAATAATGCATATTTATTTCTTGATCAATGTGTCATGTGTGCTAATATATATATTGAAAATTCAAATGAAGTTTTGAATTTGGTTACATGAACTGGATTGATGAAGCTTTATCATAAATTTGTTAATCGAGAAAGTCCTATGCTATTATTTTCATTCTTTTAGCATCACTATGTTCCTTAACTTTAAAATAATTTCTCTCACACTTCATAACACTGCTCTGTTCTATTCTTCGTAAAGTGATATTTCCTTTATCAAATTATAGTTAATTTACTATACTATTTTATAAAAACTCTAATCGTTACTATTACTTTGGCTTCGTGATATTATTGTTATATGTATCAAAGTTTAATTTTTTATAAACATACCTCTTGTTTCCCTCAGATATAAGCGAAGTGTAAAACAGTTAACGATGATAATTAGAAATACAAGCAAGCTGATTCCAAACACCAGACCGATGGTTACTTTATCAATACGTTTTCTGACAGTTTCATTCTCATTTTCAGTAGGTAAGGTTGTCCTGAAAATACGGCACGCTTTGGCCAACTTTTTTATGACTTTGTTATCATGTCGTACTTACAACGTTCACTTTTATTTTTAATTTTGAAACCTTTTAATGTGTTTAAGAAGTTCAATGAACATTAGTGGATTTTTGTAGTCGAGAAAAAAGCAAGCACTTAAAAGCTTATAAATTTGGTATGTTTCTGTTTCACGAAGTTATTTCTCATTTTAATTTCTCGATTTCATTCTAAGCTAAACCAGAATTAAGTTAAAGTGGATGAATTTTTCAAGTTACACATTATTTCAGATGTGAGATCTTGGGAATTTTTATTGCAGAAAAGAATAAGAAAACGGCAAGCATGTGAAAATGAAGTTGAGGTTGCATCTCAAAAAATAAAAATCAAAACAGAATAATGTTATAAGAGATAAAAGAGAGTTAATTGTGTAGATTAAGCGATGGAAATTAGAAATAGTAATAATATCTATTTTTTTCTATAAGAAACATTTATTCCTCGAGTAAAGGTTAGTATGGCAATGCTACGTGGCAGACAATTTATGCGTGTTGCTTTGACTTTTAAATGATTATAAATAAATTAATCATCATATTAGAAATGAATAAAAAGGTAGGCTTTTACATTCTCTTCCAAACTGAGTTCATCTTCCATTTAGAATCGCCCACAAGAATTTGCTCTCCTTCAGAAGTAGTTACTGATTCCGTTTCTCCCATTTCTTCAATTCCTTCTGATTCTCCCTTATCGTCTTCGATGTACAGAGTGTTTTCTCTATTTGAAACGGTAGAATTCATAAAATAATTTTTAGTTAATGCTAGAAATACAAATTTTTTAGACGGAAACTTATTTTCAAATTTGCCTACACTTGCCTATTTTTACGACGTTTCATTGAAAATATATTAAACATAATTACTTTTTTAATTTGAAAAAATTCATTTCTAGAATAAATAAAGGAGGGTTATTGCTTTTGTCTTTGGTAAGTTCTTTTTTTCCAAAAACTAGTTTGCGCAGTAATATCTGGATTGTCCAAATTGCTTCAGTTACTGTCCTTATTAAAAAATTAATTTAATTGCTCATGTCATGAAAAAAGACTATATGTATTTGACTAAACACAACTTTACACTTGTGAAAACATTTTCAAAAGATAAATTGTTTCAAGAAGTCATATTAATTTCTGAAATCATTTAACAATTTTTTTTTCAATTTTTTCGAGAAAATAAGAATAGATGTTTTAAGAGACTAAATATTTTTTGCATCTCTACCAAGTGTTTTTAACTTAACAACACGAATGAAAAAAAATTGAAGCTAATTTATACTTATTTACTAAAAAATATGCTAAAAATTTAGAAATCCAAAATATTTTCAAATTATTTTGATCGAATTATATTATAGAAAAACTAGAATTTTTTTCATATCATTTCATTAATGCAATAAAACTATGTAGCCACTTGTTGAATTTCGGTGTCCAACCGAGCAAATGATATTTATGGGAATCCTTTGATTTCTTTTGATTGTTTTCTCTCCATCTATTTAATTTTTGATGATCATATTCAGATTCTAATTTGTGTGGTGACTTTTTCTGAAATTCATGTTTCTCCAAAATTGAAATATAACAGATTAGTTAAAGCCCATGAAAATAATCCGTATATTTTGAAGAAATATTTTTTACTTTTTAATATTTTTAATTTTTGTTTACATATATTTTTATTATTCCGAAACATTTTTCACTGATTTTTTTCTCAACAAGAAATTGTATTCTTGAGAAATACTTTATTTCTTCAGCATCATTAATTATTATCCCATCTCATGCCTATCCAATGCATTTACTTTAGCTTGATTTTTTAAATTTACACTTTTTGGTTCAAAATTGAAGTCATCCGAGTTGAAAAAAATGGGAGCTGATATCTATAATTATTTATAATTGTTTTAAAGCTTATTAAAAATCAAATTTGATCAACAAATAAAATTGTTTAAATTAGGCATTTGTGATTAGTTCTCAAAATAAGCAAAAATAAATATGCAAATTAAAAATAGAATTGCAGTACTGGCATAAATTAATGAGCACTTTATTAAGGCAAAAAGGAAATTAACATACAGATGGATTTTCAAATAAGCTCTGGTCTACTTGTTTTAGTTGTGGATCGAAAGTCAATTTAATTTTTGCAAGGCCTTTTTTCATAAAAGTATTTCCAATTATGAAATTTTCCGATTTTACCTGAAAATATTCAAACTTTCAAATAATTTGTTTCTATTCTTTTTTATTTATCAAAAACAAATTGTCTTTTAAAGTTATCCTTATTTAATAATCATTCATAAATAATCCGTTCGATAAAAGATTTGAATTGGAGCAAAAAATTTGAAATTTTGCTTTGTACCGAATAATTTAATCCACTGAAGGCTAGCATGATTGAAATTAGATATCTCAAAGCAGCCATTTACTACCAAGCAACTTTCTGTCAATGAACCAAAAAATATTAAGGAAATGTATTTCGATTTAATACGTCGTGATGCAAAATTTGCACTTAAATAGTGCACACAAATGCAAATTTTGCTCTACTTTTCGATATTTTTTCCCATCACTGTTTTATTGGTACAAATTTTGAGCAATCAGGCTTATCTTCAAGTATTCATTAGTATTCAACTGATTATTTGAGATTGCTAATAAAGTTAAACCTGCAAAATTCTTTATTATTCATTTTACACTCAACCGGACTGTGCGAAAAAAGAGTTTAAGTTGCTACTTAGCATTGCTCTCTTCAGCCAACGCCTTCAAATCTTGCAAAGAACATATCTGTGCTTTTGGAAGTTAAGACAAATTCATGAATTTTGTCTTTTAATTTAACAATTGTAAGTCATTTTCGTAGATTTTCAAGAAATAAACTTGTTTACCAGTCAAGTATACATTTGAAAGCAAGATGTAGTACAAATTTAGTTGCAGTGAAAAATTCAAAGATACTAAATGCAAATTATTACAATAACAAGCGATTTCTGCCATTGATTCAGTCAAGAATGATAAACTTTTCAGAAATTAATGAAATTTTAGAGATATGATATTAAATGCAATATTATAATCATTCAGAGTGCATGCTGGATATTTAAAATTTCAAATAATTTTTTGCTTTCATTTTCATTATTTAAAGATGCTTAAAAATTAGTATTTATTTGAATTCTCAACGTGCAATATTTGCGAATATTTTTTTATGCTTAATATCTGAAAACGTTTAAGATTTCTGAATTTATTGCTATTTTTGATTTATTTTAAGTGAAATCAAATTCTTATATTACAAAAAATGTATAATTAAAAAGTTGTATGCTTACAACTTATTTTAAGATATTAGATAAACTTTGAGCAGAATCTTTCTATTACATCAAATGTGTACACAAAAGTGTGATATGCATGATTAAAAGACTTAATTTTCACGTCATAATAATTGGAGGTGCATATATTTGGATAATTAATAACACGTATTTATTTTCTTACCTGTTGTTTAATAATACTGAATTTACTGAGATAATCTCGAAGTCGATCAATGCTCGCCCTCAACCAGAATAATTTCTTTTTCTTGCTGTTCGCAGTGAATAATCTTGCAAACTTCTAGTTTTTCAATCCATCTCCGTCCTCATTTTCACATGTGAACATGGCGAGAAATGATTTCATCTTCATTTCACCCAATTTAGCGTCTACCATTTTTATCACAACAGTTACAATTGTCTCGCTGATCTGTTTACTGAGAGTAAATCAAGCCTTGCATTCATCTATTTATCTATCTATCTATCTATCTATCTATCTATCTATGTACCTATCTATCCATTCATCCATTTATCCATTCATTCATCGTTATCTAACTATTCTCACTCCACTATTCATCTATTTCGTCTTTCAGTTTATCAATTATTTTCATTCGATTTTTATTATTCTATAATTCATTTCATCTTATCTCATTTCATCTCATCTCATCTCATTTCATTTTTATTTTACTTCAATTTCTGTCATTAAATATATAAACATTATTTATATATTATTCTATTCTAATTTATTCTATTCCATACCATCTAATTCATTTATCTATTCTACGTTGCCTTTACAGCAAAATAATTTCTTCAAATTATTAATGGCAACAGTAAATTATTGGAAAAATTTTTATTTATTTCTGATTGTGATTATTTCTTTAAAAATTAATGCGCAACAACAATCATCTGAACCTATGCAAAAAACCTTTGCAAACACGCAATTTGATTTGGATCCTAATTTACCATCGGAAGATTTTTCAAGCATTGTATCATTATCAACATTACAATTTTCAAACAGTTCTCAACAGTTTTTGGTACGTATTTATTAATCTTGTCTATCTCCGTGAAATAAACATTTGAACGGTTTTTTATTTACAAATTTTTATAAACAAAGTTTTACAACTTTTCGCTTCTTAATTTCACGTTTTGCATCTTAAAGATTTCATAAATGAATTTTATTCAATTGTATTATTTTATAAATAATTTCAGAATGAAATTAAAATAATTTGCTCTTGTTTCAAAAAAGTTTTTATAGGGTGAAATACCCGCGCAAACAAGTACGACGCTACGTTTAGTATCAGCAACAGAGAAGATAAGTGAAGCAGAAAATTTACAAGCGAATCTGCCTAATAATCCTCTTCAATATTTCCAAAAGCCATCATTTCCAGCGCCTCGAGCAAAAGTTTATCGTAATATTGCAGAAGATATAGCGATATCTGTTTCCGCGATTAACCCTCCGGCTGCTCAACATGAATCAGCGCCTATGCACGAATCCTCCAATTCAGCTTTTCAGGAATTGAAACTGGACAAAAATAATGCTCAATACTTTCCTGTCGATATTCAGGTAACACCAAGATTACCATACTCTATTAAAGGCTATTCATCACCTAAATATCATGCTTCACACTCTGCGCTTAAATCTCCTAAAAATCTTTCCACATCACAAATACTGAATCTACCTGCTGCTCCATCTGCTACTCTAACAGATAACAAATTCAAATCGGAAATACCAGCACAACGGATCTCATCTGCTTTATTATGGTTTTCTCAAACTCTTCCATCATTCGGTATATTATCTTATCTATGAATTTTTTATTATTTTGAATTGCATGGGTTCAAAAAATTTTTATCAAAAACTGCAAACTGGGAAGTTTTTAATAAAAATTTTATTGTTGGCTTTTTTTTTAATACATCTCATTAGTTGGTTAATTATGTAAAATATTATTTATTAGGAAACAAAGTTTAAAGATAGTTCTTGATTAGAAAGTTAGTTTTACAACCAAATTTCTCTTTTCATTATTTTGATTAATTGAATTATTGGAAGCTTTAGAGCAAGTGTAAGTCTCACAGTCTAAAAAGCTAGTAATATAATTAATAAATTTATGTAGTCAGATGTTAATATGACTATCTCAGTTAACAAATCACAATCTTTTTTTATTATAAAAATGTTTGATAAAAGAGCAATTTTTAATTACAGTTAAACCAGTGTTATATTTTTATTAGAAAGCAAACATAAAATTTTAACGCCACCAAAATTTTCAGCTCTTTGCAGTTTTTTGAATGCATCGTATATTGTTTAAGAAGTAATTTATTTCAAACATTTGCTTGTAATTATTTGCAAAAGTGATTTTAAATCATCTATTTAAAATTGGAAAATCTCAAAAAAATATTCGAAAAAACTTTCTTTCGTCATTTCACTTATTTAAAGAATTTTTTTCATTTTCTTTATTGAAAGTTTACAAAATTTTCGTAATAAGAAAAATTATTGTAAGTAATTTTTTTTGTATTAGATCAGAGAAGTTTGTAACGTTCAAATCCTTTATTAATCAGTAAGAAAAATCAAAAAACTAGTTATCATTTTCAATGTTTACAATTCTTTGATATTCAAACCATATTAACAGCACTAATATTTATGTCTATAGTAATGATAAGCGCATGTTAGAAGCAGTAATAAATATTTTTTTTAATTAAACTCTAAAAACGAACTAAATGCAATTATTTTTTGTATTAAAATTTTAAACAAATTGAAGCGTCTTTGTTTAATTTAAATTAGAAAAAATTTGTGAGCAGCAAACAAACGAAATTAATCAAAAAAAAAGAATTAAAATGAACCGTTTTCTTGTGATTCTCAGCAAATAATTTCATTTGATAAGATAGATTTAGCAATAATATAAAATAATAATTTAAAAAAAAAAACAAGGAAGCCCCGTCAAAACAAAACTAAAAAAAATTTTATTTGAATGTTTGAAATGAAATATTTAAGCTTTCATTTTGCTCAAACATTATATGTCTTATCACTGACCTTAAGGTAACCAAAATTGTTAGGAGCATATTTTGTTGAGACAGCTAAAGCCAATTCATTTATTCGGTAAGCAATTATATTTATTAATTTTGATAGTATCAAATCACTTACCACTTCTTGTGATCATGACATTCATCCTTACTGAGAAATCATAGGTTTAGACCGGATTTTAACAATCTATTTTAGGTCAACAGTATCAATAGTTTTATCTTTCGTTCCTTTCACTTAGTTAAAATAATTTTGTCATTTTCCTTATTTTGACACATTTTATTTTATAAAACTTTCATCTTAACATCATATCACTTAAGCAGTAATTCAAAACGATGAAAGAATTTGTGACTGAAATGCGGAAAGTTGTTTTGCAAACATTTTGTTGATAATTTCAGTCTTGTAATTCAAGTAATTGAATTTCAAATTGAATGAGATTTTAACTGCTTTTATTCATTGCAGTTTACATCACAATTGAAAACGAAAATACTATTATCGGATTTTGTTTGCATCTTTCAAACTATTTTTTTCTGATTATGCGTTTTTTGAGCTTGAGGTGTTCACTTGTCAAAGTAGTACTTTTTCTCATTCTCAAAGTTTGAGATTAGAACAAATCGCACAAACTGAAGTTACGACTCATTAATTTTACAAATTTTTGATTTTTTATTAATTCACATTTGGTCATTTAGCCATTGTTTATAATTTAATTTTTTTTAAAAATTGCCATTTGAAATAGATTAAAGCAATACAAACCAAAAATTCATCATCCCAAAACTTCTTTTCTATTTTATAGAATTGTTCATTTATCATTTAATTTATGTATTAATTTTACAGAAACAATTGCTTCTCTTTCATTTAAACTGAAAAAAAATAGATATTTTCATGCTTTTGTCCATTTAAAACTTGACCAACTTCCCTTCCGTACTGAAAAACATCCCAAAAGTATACTTTAAGACATTTTTAAAATTTACTTATCAAAGTTACGAAGACTTTAAGTACTACTTGGAAACAAGAATGATCAGTTTTTGGTGAAAAAAAACTCTGTCAAAATTTTAAGTGCAAAAGCTTTTTGATTTCTTACAGAATGAGTACATATGAAAATATTAATGGCAAATTTTCATTTGAATATTAATTTCCCACAAAACAGGTCAGAAAGATGATCTAATTCGGTAATTTTTCTTGAATTTATCCTCTAGTATAAATAAATTGCAATTGATTGACAAACAGTAAATACGATGAATAATCTAACAGATAAAAGCTGTTCCATTAATCGGTTTTGAGGAAAACTAAATTACTTTTATAAAGTTATCAATTCAGTAACATCTTTCATTGTTGTATTTGCTTTAATTTTTCTAGCGTTTGACTGAAGTAATTATTGTTTGTTGCTGAAAGTAAGAACTGAAAAACCGGTTGAAATACTGAAACCTTTCAAAATTCAACTATACTTGGCAGATTATGGTGAGATTTACGTAAAATTTCTTGTAGATTTTGATTTGCGTAAGATTTTTCGAACTTACTGAATTTGTGACATTCAATTCAGCGAATACATAGGGAGAGAGGAGAGGGGGTCAATCTGAAAGGGGGCAAGAGATTGGAAATATTACTTCATTTAGAATTTTAACTTGAAATGACTGAAAATATCAAATTTTTTATTTATTGAATATTAAGCAATAACTGCTATTTTAATCAATGATTATTTGGACTTGAAGAGTTAAGTTTCAGCCTGCATAAAAGTTCAGTTTGTCTAAAGCTATATTCCATATATTTTTGGAAGTATAGAAAGTTGAAATTTTTGTAAATTTCAGCGTTTTACATCTTTTTTTGTTACTGCACAATATAAATAAATTTAAAGTGGCATTACTTTGAATATGATTAAAGTTTTTTCAAACTTGAGTTATTACATGGAATTTATATCAGATATGACTGAATGACAAAATAATTCTTATACTGCTTAATAAGTTTTAAACTGAATGTGCTAAATGTAAATTATGAACATGCTAATATGATATATATTCCATGATTTAAGAAAGTCAAATTTAGATTGATTAAGACTGAATTACTAAAAACAAATTTGAAGATGCGCTTTCAGATTGTTCAAAAAATTATCAAAAAACAGCTACTGAATTCACACGTAAGTTTCCTATGAAAACAATACGGGATGTGAAGGAAAAACGATTGGCAGAAGTAGTCAAACAACAATTAAGTGAATGTGATCTGAAGTCAAGAAGCAATCACTGGCAAATACTAATGAAATTACTTCCAGATGTGAAACTTTCGCCAAGGTAAGTTAAGTTGCTTAATTTAAAATTTTTATTGTACATTTATTAAAAATATATCTTTATTTATTCTACAAACTCACTGATTCGAAATATTTTTACCACAAGATTTATTATTTTGATGACAATGTTATAGCGAAGAAGAGGAATGCAAAAATGGGCTTATCCAAGAACGCATTGCTTGCGTGAATCTTATTTCTTACACATGTCAATTCATCAAACGTGATTACAAATTTCGTTTAGTCCCAGCACGTGTAATTATGCAGGAAGCACGTTTAGCCGAAGATGGGGCAAACAAATGCTCAAAAGTTATTCGACACATCAAAAAGCATAATTTACCAAAGTAAACTTTAAAATTTGTCTACACAAATATATGTACAATTTTTTTTACTAATTTTTCAGTCATCTTTATTTATCTTACAAAAAAATTCAAATGAAAAATAACCAAATGATCAAACAAAAATTAAATTGTAAGATTAATTTGTTTGTGAAAGCAAATAACACTTTTCAAACTGAAATTAAATTATAAAATTATGAACCTTTGATCATAGAATTTATCAAAATTACCAAAACCTCTGTTTTCTCAAATTCAGAGTTACCATCCAAATATGCCCAAACGATATTTTCAGTTATTGCTGCAATTTTTGATGTGTGAGATTTTAATTGGTGCATAAATAGATTTTTACAAAGGTTTTATCGTTGTCTACTTTATATGATACTAGTGTGATTATTTGATTATTATTCTAATAGAGAATATAGCTTTAATTGGAGGGAAATCATATCCCTTAAACAGTCAGTGCTTTGATACTTTTAATTTTTTATCAAAATTAAACTTAAATATAAATGTTTAATAGAATTTTCAAAATAAAAACAAAATTTACACAAAATAAGCATTTATTAAAGTTTAAAAGTAAATAAAAATTTTCAATTTGTGTATAATTTTTTTACTTTGTTGTATTTCATTTGAGAGCATTACCATTACGCAGGAAAACAATTTATCTTACATTTGTTCTACAGTTCACTGACACAAAAAAGTGATGGATCAAATACTTCGTCACCTCTGACCTCTTAAGAGTATTCGCATTAAAAAGAAACGAACAATATATACATTGTTCTTTTGAAATGAAATATTAGTACACTTTGGTAACAGATTTATTTCTTTTATTATCAAAAAAAATGATAGAAAAGATGAAAACAACAAAAAACAAAACCATTTGAATTGTTTTCCAATGAAAACATTAATCTTTTCAATTTTTAAAGAAAAAAGTTAGTGAATACAACAGAAAATCAGATTTTGGTACAGATTTTGAATATTAAAATCGTTAAAAGTTTTAATTTACAGTACTCATAATTTATTCACATTCTTTATATCTCGCCTTAAGATGAATTTATTAAGCATCAATGTCTGAAAATGTAGCAAGTTGATAATCACCGAAATTCATTCGAATATCACGACTTAAAGCCTGCATCTGACTTCGAGCTATTTCTCGAAGGTCTTCTTTCGAAGCAAATTTGTACTCATTCTCATAACCAATTGAATGAACACTGAAACTTTTATCTTTTGACACAAACACTGTATTTAAAATAAAATTAACAAATTTAAATATTAAGAAAATATGTGGTATAAAATTTACACGTTAATTTACGAGTAATTTTCGTTTTTACTTTATTGTCAAAATGTTTACAATTGTCATTGTTATCTTCGTTTCAAGTTCACTCTCAAAAAGTTGTATAAAAAACAAAGCAGAGCTAAGAAATACAAATAAAGTGATAGTTTGAGAAAATAAACTCGCCGAAGTGTACGTTATCAGATTACTTCAAGGATAATTTTAAAAGCAATGGCTAAATAAAAATTTTTATGATACATTTGAAACTTAAGAGAAAAAGTTTTTTCTGTTTTTTTTCCATGATTAAATGCAAAATTATTAGGGTTATTTTCAATTACCAAAAGCTTTTAATAGCTATGAAATTATAAACTTTTCTAAAATGAACTTTGCATTAGATCTATTTACAACCAGCAAATTTGAAATGGAAAATCACTAAAATTCAGTTTATAATTATTATGTAAAATAGTAGAAATAAACCTATTCCATCTAAGATTGCTGAAAAAGGATGAGGTTCCAAGTGATGAACAGATACTATCAATATCAGCATCATTACCGTTATCACTACGGCTCCACAATCTATGTCGTCTTCGTTGAGTAAAACTTGTTCTACTACATGTCCTGCATATAATTAAAAGCATATAATTATTTAATTTTTCGTTTTTATCAACCAAAAATGATAATTTTATCAAAAACTTTGAAAATAAAAGATTAGAAAAGTACAGTACTTCAAAGCCTTCTTTAACTGCTCCAATCGACCACCACGCATTTCTGAATCTGAACAAATACCTTCTGATTCTGCATTATCGTACTCTGTACGACAAGCGCTTGAGATATCTCTCCTACAGAAAACAAAAGACGCAATTGTATTTGTTTCAAATTTTAGGATATTAGTTTCTACTAATTCAATTTCAATTACTCCTTGAAAATAGATGCATTATTAGTGATGGCTTTTTGAAACTGATTAACGTCAGGCGTATAATAGAATTTGCAAAGTAAATTTATTTCTTAAGCTTACCTTAGACTTTTAGTAGAGTTAGATAGAAGCATAGGAAAAGGACGATCTTCGAGTGCCTGATCTAAATCAGCGATTGCAGTCAGCTCGGCTAACATCTGATCTACCCGACTGGCTGCAGCGGCAAGTTTATCACTCCCATCAATTTCATTAACGATTCCCTGACTTATATCTGAAGTGACTGGCTGATTCCACCAATTTGAAGGCGATCGTTTACACTGCCATCGTCGTTGGCGACGATTACATCTTGCAATTAATGACAGATCTTGCTAAACGATTGCTTATTTTTTACTAATTAATTCAAATTCGAATTATTTTTGATGTGGTTAAAATCAATCAGTTCGGAAGGTTTTTCCTCACAAAGTTTCTTTTAAATTTGCATTTCACAAGAGTGATTTTATTTTTTATATATTCATAGATTATTTATTAACTGAGCTTAAGAAACGTAAGCTTTTTTCAATATTTATTGCATTCGATTTTTAATCGAAAATTGTCCGAATTTTAATGTTAAACAGGAAATGAATTTGAAATCTCTTAAAACGATAATGTCTATTACCAAATACTTCCACAATTAATTAAGAATCTTTCTTTAACAACAAAATAAACTGATATGAATTTTCAAAGTATATGGCATAATTTGCGGTAAATACCTGTGATGAATTGCTATAATTTTCAATATTCGCTGGTACTTGCATAGAAGAAGTAGACTGATGCTCTTGGAGTTGAGCATTTTTTTCATAGATTAGCATTTCCGGCGTGATCCACTCCATTTCAGAATCTGTCTCAACTCCGATATCAATGGAATAAACATCAGAGCAAACTGATGAATTCATCGATGCAAACATCTAAAAAAGTTATGATGAAAAAAACAGATTTTTCATATTAAAAAAACGAAAAACAAAAAAAATTTGGAATAATTTAAACTGAAATATTCATTAGTAAAAATCGTTAATAGTTATTTTTAAGCTATAATGAAAAGTTCAAGAGAATCTTTTTTGAAACTTTTAATTAAAAATTTTTTTTATGAAAAATAAAATTTGCTCTCCTTTTTATTCATTCACTGCAAAAAATGTTTGAAATAGAAAAGATAACAATTTTTCAATTAATTCGGTGCTTCATTGCAAGATGAAGTGAAACAAAATAGTAATATATCAAAGCACTTCAAGTGGATTCTGAGATGTCACACTGTCTTCTACTGGTGGTGCACAAAATGAATTCACATCTGTTTCATCAGCTTGGTAGCTACTTTCAGCACGGTTATCCTCGAATACATAAGCATTGAAAGTCTTAGTGATTTTGATCGGCCTTGGATCAAAATTGAAATTTCTCGGTCTTAAAGCCAAGTATATCTCTTCTGATACCAAAATGCCATAGCAATTTGCATGTTGCATCAACGTACGTGCACCCAAACACGGCTTTCCAATCAGTTCATATGTTGGCTTTTGACCATTTAATAAAACAGTGGATAAAGCTGATCCACAATCAATGCCTGAAAGTAGAATTTCATTTGTGCATAATTATTAATTTTTAATAACTGAGTTTGATTCAACTTTTTTCACCTATTCATCATGCAAATAATTTGATTTGCTTCATGCTCTTCGTGATTAAAATTTCTTTCCAAAGATTTATATTTAATTCAATAAAATTTGGCTATTTAACCAGTCTAATTTTACTGAATTCGGTTCTCAACCACATATTTTTGCAACAGAAATATATTGCATTGTTTCTATAATTTAAATTCAATTGTTTTCATATATTCTTTAACTAAAAATGATTTAAATCAAAAAGAAAACTTGGACTAATGAAATAAATACTCAGTTTTATAAATATCAGCATTATAAGCATTTTATAAATATGAGCGAGAAATTATGAGCATTAGCTTAAAGCTTAATACAGTATCTTTTTTTAAAAAAAAAGGTAAAGGTGTAATTTGAAATTGATTAATAAAAAATTTTTTTAATACTCAAAGTCAGAACTTTACAAATACCAATATTTAAGGAAATGCCGTGGTCAGCAGCAAATGCCGAAACGTTCAATGTGAACTGCGTGAGTTCAGCGAGTAAATCACCGATCGTCGATGGAGTGTCATGCACCTGTAAATTAAAATTTTTCAGAACATTTTAATTGCAATTTACAAATTTTCTTAGAATTATAAACGTTAAAATTAAAACATCTATAAAATTTCAGAGAATTAGTAAAGTTATCAATTTATATCTGCAGGATCAAAGTATAAATTCAAAAACTCAAATAATACAAAATGATTAACCGTTATTTACAAAAGTAACTCCTCATGATTGAGATTTGCAAAAAGGTCATTTTCTTTCTGCCAAATTTTTTTAAGATTTTGAATAACAATGTGAAGAGTCCAAGTTAGAAAATGAGTATGAATTTTGATAAACTCCACAAACTTGAGCTTATATTTTGTTAATTTTAGGCTTTAATTTAGCAAGGAAAAATACTGAAAACAAGAAACAAAACAAACATTTTTACAAATTTCCGGAATTAATCCAACTGCTACGATGTAATTCTTTTGACACGCTCGTATTTTTTCAATGCCACGATGCTGCATTACAATCTCAAAACAAAAGTAATTTTTTCATGAATTAAATAAAATATAATAAAAATTCCCAAAGTTGAACAAAATTTTGAAGAAAAAATAACTGCAACTAATGAATGCTTTCTCAATATTTAATTTTTTACAGCGAAAAATGTATTTCTTTTACTGTAATTAAAAGTTCATTTTTTACCTGATCAAACACACAAACCAAATTTTTCAAATTTCTTACAGCAGCTTCACCATCTTCATCTTCACATATTATCTAAAAATAATTGCATATAAGAGAGTAATACATAATTCAAAGTTATATATGCATAAATTCGGCTAGATATTTAAAATTTTAGCTTCTAAAAATATTTTCTATTTTTATGAGCTCACCGCCAAGTGTTTTAATTAACTACAATAGACTTACACTTGTTTTGTATCTTTAAAAACTAAAGTGGCAAAAGACTCCAACTTTATATTCCTTTTAAATAGCAATAATACTCAATGTTAGTGGATTATATTATAACTAAGAAGTTTAATAAAGTAAACTGATAATTTCAATGCAAGCAATGCTTACATTAATATGAGCTATTCCTACACTATGACAAAGATGATGATAAAGTTCAGATTTATTTTGAAAATTTTGAGCAATATGTGCTGGTAAAGCATTCTGCAGCATTTGCTGATTAGCTGACTCGATTTGTTCAGCATTTGACGTTTCTTCCAATTCCTTAAAATAATAATTACTGCATAAATTACTTACAGTTAATAAAAATTACCAGATTTCTTTTAAGAAAACAGAAGAATACGGAATTTTAGTTGTAGCCAAATTTCACTTTACCTTCAGCTTTGACATAAAATCCAGCCTCAAAATTCGTTCATTTCTTCGAAAATGCAAAAATATAAGCAGCGATAAAGTGAACAAGCCAATAACTAATTCCCATTCCACATTATAAGTGCTATAAGAAATTATTATCACAAATTATACTTACATGATAGCATTTGATTTACTATAATTTATCGCAATCTTAAAAACTGCATATTTATTTTAGCTTAGCAATGAATAATTTTTTGCGTTATTTTAAAAATTGCTCTACATTGTTACAAACTGTACATAAGTTACGGTAAGCATTAAAAAAATATCCGAATAACTTACGTTGCAAATTGTGTATAATTCACGTAAAGCAATGGATGGGTAACGAATATATGACACGTATAAAGCATGAACGCAACCATCAGCGCAACAAATAATGCTAATGATGAAAAACGTACAAAAACAGACGTTACGAGCATCCAAAATGCACAGTTAAGTTGAGAAAAGTGTACGACACTACATTCTTCTTTTAGTACTGTTAAATTAGGATATTGTGGACATGAATACTGAAAATATACAAAATAATCTATCAAAAATGTAACTAAAATGTGCATGTTTATAGAAAAAAAAGGAAGATAATTTTGATAAGTTTTATGAGCAAAAATAAAATAAAGTTAGTTTTACTTCTTACTTATTGAAAAACTAAGTATTAGTGTACTGAAAAGCTTTCAAAATTATTCAACAGTCTTTTTTTAAACAATATTTTCACTTGATTCCAACTATTCATTTTTGGCATATTTATTTAGCATTTTTATTATGAATATAATTAATTTCAACTAATTATTAATTCGCAATTTTTAATTAATAGATATTGTATTTCTTCTTGAGAAGAAAAAAGCAAATTTTAATTAAATTAATGCCAACCGCATTAACAATCCCGCACATAAATAACAATGCCAAAATAAGTAAAGTAATGACTGAATGACCAGTAGCTGTCCTTGTAATAAAATGGCAAAAATTCTGTAAATTAAGATATTTAGTTTGCTATAAAACCTATTTAAAAAAAGCTATTAAAAAACTTTTAATTCATTGAGAATATTAATTTGAAATGAAACATACTTATTTTTCATTTAATATTAGGCATAAATAGATTCTTATAAGTTGCATCAAACACTTCTTAATTAGATAGAAATATAAACATGTAGCTTTTATGTTAAGTAAACAATAAATGAAAATTTGCTGAAGCAACCAGTTTTTTCGTATGCAAATAATTTGTATTCGATATATAAATATGGAAATATATATAAGCTACTAAAACTAAAATATTAAAACAAAAACATCTTGTGAGTACTGAAACTTTAATTTTAATAAAGAATCAGAAGGATTAAGTTGTACCAAAATTAATTTTCCCCTTGAAAAACCATTCACATAAATTACAAAAATATCTATCATGCATTAGGCGAAATAAAATTCTTCTGATTAATTATTAAATGAAAAGCCATTTTACAGTGGTATAAATTATAATCAATATTTGACAAAGAAATAATTAAATATGCATACTTGGAAAAAATTTGCATAAAGTGTAAGCAAAACCAAAAAAATTACAGCCAATGATGTGATGATCATTACAAGCGTTGAAATTTGTCTGAAATTGAAATTTGTCAACAAAAATGTACATATCTCTCATTTTACTTTTACAACTCCACACAAATCTCACGATTTTTACCTCGGTAAAACGAGAACATGATAGATACCGTATGTGACGAGGAAAAATATGCTTATAGCTAAAGCTGGTACAAACCACTGATCGAACTGCATCTGATACTGCAATTGAAGTTAAAAATTAATCATTTGATTTATCTCAAAGTATCGTTTCCAATTACTGAAATTGAATATTTAAATTTATATCACATTTAATAATAGATTTAGTTTTTAGTCAATAGCTTTTTTATTAATATTATTATTTCATCCAATTATTACATGCCAAATGAAATTATGCTTTGTGACAGTATAATTGAATGTGTTCACTAACCTCACTTATACAACTCAATTTATTTTTGAAGTATTTTAATTCCACAAACTATTTAATCTTCGATTTAATTTGTTTTCCAATTATTTGTTTCACCAAAAATAATGCACATAACTTTACACAACACAGCTATGCTTAACTTAAAAATGAAATTATTCAAGCTTAAAAATTATGCAAATTTAGAAAGAAAATCAAACGAACAGCTTTTTCCATGCGTTCATTACGGAAACAAAGCAAACAATAACGCATCACACTTCTACCCGAATTGATCTTAGCGGAAATCGTTTTACCATTAACTAATATAAATTTGTCAATTCGCCTGCAATCCATTGTTTAAACAAAATATATACTGAATATTTAACAGAGAATTAACCAGGAAGCATATTTAAATTAGACAATTTCAGGAATTTTTCAAACTTGAAAAGTCTTTGTGTCGTTTTTTACGATAGAAACTTTCGACTCAAAAAA